GTCTAGTCTATAGTCTAGTATAGTCTAGTCTATAGTCTAGTCTAGTCTAGTCTATAGTCTAGTCTATAGTCTAGTCTATAGTCTAGTCTATAGTCTAGTCATAGTCAGTCTATAGTCTAGTCTATAGTCTAGTCTATAGTCTAGTCTATAGTCTAGTCTATAGTCTAGTCTATAGTCTAGTCTATAGTCTAGTCTATAGTCTAGTCTATAGTCTAGTCTATAGTCTAGTCTATAGTCTAGTCTATAGTCTAGTCTATAGTCTAGTCTATAGTCTAGTCTATAGTCTAGTCTATAGTCTAGTCTATAGTCTAGTCTATAGTCTAGTCTATAGTCTAGTCTATAGTCTAGTCTATAGTCTAGTCTATAGTCTAGTCTATAGTCTAGTCTATAGTCTAGTCTATAGTCTAGTCTAGTCTAGTCTAGTGTAGTCTAGTGTAGTCTAGTGTAGTCTAGTCTAGTCTAGTCTAGTCTATCTAGTCTAGTCTACTCTAGTCTAGTCTATAGTCTAGTCTATAGTCTAGTTATAGTCTAGCCTATAGTCTAGCCTATAGTCTAGTCTATAGTCTAGTCTATAGTCTAGTCTATAGTTTAGTCTATAGTCTAGTCTATAGTCTAGTCTATAGTCTAGTCTATAGTCTAGTCTATAGTCTAGTCTATAGTCTAGTCTATAGTCTAGTCTATAGTCTAGTCTATAGTCTAGTCTATAGTCTAGTCTATAGACTAGTCTATAGTCTAGTCTATAGTCTAGTCTATAGTCTAGTCTATAGTGTAGTCTATAGTCTAGTCATAGTCTAGTCTATAGTCTAGTCTAGTCTAGTCTATAGTCTAGTCTATAGTCTAGTCTATAGTCTAGTCTATAGTCTAGTCTATAGTCTAGATATAGTCTAGTCTATAGTCTAGTCTATAGTCTAGTCTATAGTCTAGTCTATAGTCTAGTATATAGTCTAGTCTATAGTCTAGTCTATAGTCTAGTCTAGTCTATAGTCTAGTCTATAGTCTAGTCTATAGTCTAGTCTATAGTCTAGTCTATAGTCTAGTCTATAGTCTAGTCTATAGTCTAGTCTATAGTCTAGTCTATAGTCTAGTCTATAGTCTAGTCTATAGTCTAGTCTATAGTCTAGTCTATAGTCTAGTCTATAGTCTAGTCTATAGTCTAGTCTATTGTCTAGTCTATAGTCTAGTCTATAGTCTAGTCTAGTCTATAGTCTAGTCTATAGTCTAGTCTATAGTCTAGTCTATAGTCTAGTCTATAGTCTAGTCTATAGTCTAGTCTATAGTCTAGTCTATAGTCTAGTCTATAGTCTAGTCTATAGTCTAGTCTATTGTCTAGTCTATAGTCTAGTCTATAGTCTAGTCTAGTCTATAGTCTAGTCTATAGTCTAGTCTATAGTCTAGTCTATAGTCTAGTCTATAGTCTAGTCTATAGTCTAGTCTATAGTCTAGTATAGTCTAGTCTATAGTCTAGTCTATAGTCTAGTCTATAGTCTAGTCTATAGTCTAGTCTATAGTCTAGTCTATAGTCTAGTCTATAGTCTAGTAGTCTAGTCTATAGTCTAGTCTATAGTCTAGTCTATAGTCTAGTCTATAGTCTAGTCTATAGTCTAGTCTATAGTCTAGGCTATAGTCTAGTATATAGTCTAGTCTATAGTCTAGTCTATGGTCTAGTCTATAGTCTAGTCTATAGTCTAGTCTATAGTCTAGTCTATAGTTAGTCTATAGTCTAGTCTATAGTCTAGTCTATAGTCTAGTCTATAGTCTAGTCTATAGTCTAGTCTATAGTCTAGTCTATAGTCTAGTCTATAGTCTAGTCTAGTCGTCTATAGTCTAGTCTATAGTCTAGTCTATAGTCTAGTCTATAGTCTAGTCTATAGTCTAGTCTATAGTCTAGTCTATAGTCTAGTCTATAGTCTAGTCTATAGTCTAGTCTATAGTCTAGTCTATAGTCTAGTCTATAGTTAGTCTATAGTCTAGTCTATAGTCTAGTCTATAGTCTAGTCATAGTAGTCTATAGTCTAGTCTATAGTCTAGTCTATAGTCTAGTCTATAGTCTAGTCTATAGACTATAGTCTAGTCTATAGTCTAGTATAGTCTAGTCTATAGTCTAGTCTATAGTCTAGTCTATAGTCTAGTCTATAGTCTAGTCTATAGTCTAGTCTATAGTCTAGTCTATAGTCTAGTCTATAGTCTAGTCTATAGACTAGTCTATAGTCTAGTCTATAGTCTAGTCTATAGTCTAGTCTATAGTCTAGTCTATAGTCTAGTCTATAGTCTAGTCTATAGTCTAGTCTATAGTCTAGTCTATAGTCTAGTCTATAGTCTAGTCTATAGTCTAGTCTATAGTCTAGTCTATAGTCTAGTCTATAGTCTAGTCTATAGTCTAGTCTATAGTCTAGTCTATAGTCTAGTCTATAGTCTAGTCTATAGTCTAGTCTATAGTCTAGTCTATAGTCTAGTCATAGTCTAGTCTATGTCTAGTCTATAGTCTAGTCTATAGTCTAGTCTATAGTTCTAGTCTATAGTCTAGTCTATAGTCTCGTCTATAGTCTAGTCTATAGTCTAGTCTATTGTCTAGTCTATAGTCTAGTCTATAGTCTAGTTCTAGTCTATAGTCTAGTCTATGTCCTAGTCCTATAGTCTAGTCTATGTCTAGTCATAGTCTAGTTTATCTAGTCTATAGTCTAGTCTATAGTCTAGTCTATAGTCTAGTCTATAGTCTAGTCTATAGTCTAGTCTATAGTCTAGTCTATAGTCTAGTCTAGTCTATAGTCTAGTCTAGTCTATAGTCTAGTCTATAGTCTAGTCTATAGTCTAGTCTATAGTCTAGTCTATAGTCTAGTCTATAGTCTAGTCTATAGTCTAGTCTATAGTCTAGTCTATAGTCTAGTCTATAGTCTAGTCTATGTCTAGTCTATAGTCTAGTCTATAGTCTAGTCTATAGTCTAGTCTATAGTCTAGTCTATAGTTTTCTATAGTCTAGTCTATAGTCTAGTCTATAGTCTAGTCTATTGTCTAGTCTATAGTCTAGTCTATAGTCTAGTCTATAGTCTAGTCTATAGTCTAGTCTATAGTCTAGTCTATAGTCTAGTCTATAGTCTAGTCTATAGTCTAGTCTATAGTCTAGTTTAGTCTAGTCTATAGTCTAGTCTATAGTCTAGTCTAAGTCTAGTCTATAGTCTAGTCTATAGTCTAGTCGATAGTCTAGTCTATAGTCTAGTCTATAGTCTGTCTATAGTCTAGTCTATAGTCTAGTCTATAGTTCTAGTCTATAGTCTAGTCTATAGTTTAGTCTATAGTCTAGTCTATAGTCTAGTCTATAGTCTAGTCTATAGTCTAGTCTATAGTCTAGTCTATAGTCTAGTCTATAAGTCTAGTCTATAGTCTAGTCTATAGTCTAGTCTATAGTCTAGTCTATAGTCTAGTCTATAGTCTAGTCCTATAGTCTAGTCTATAGTCTAGTCTATAGTCTAGTCTATAGTACTATCTATCTATAGTCTAGTCCTAGTCATAGTCTAGTCTAGTCTATAGTCTAGTCTAGTCTAGAGTCTAGTCTAGTCTAGTCTAGTCTAGTCTAGTCTAGTCTAGTCTAGTCTAGTCTAGTCTAGTCTAGCTAGTCTAGTCTATCTATTCTAGTCTAGTCTAGTCTAGTCTAGTCTAGTCTAGTCTCGTCTAGTCTAGTCTAGTCTATCTAGTCTAGTCTATAGTCTAGTCTAGTCTATAGTCTAGTCTAGTCTATAGTCTAGTCTATAGTCTAGTCTATAGTCTAGTCTATAGTCTAGTCTATAGTCTAGTCTATAGTCTAGTCTATATCTAGTCTATAGTCTAGTCTATAGTCTAGTCTATAGTCTAGTCTATAGTCTAGTCTATAGTCTAGTCTATAGTCTAGTCTATAGTCTAGTCTATAGTCTAGTCTATAGTCTAGTCTATAGTCTAGTCTAGTCTAGTCTATAGTCTAGTCTATAGTCTAGTCTATGTCCTAGTCTATAGTCTAGTCTATAGTCTAGTCTATAGTCTAGTCTATAGTCTAGTCTATAGTCTAGTCTATAGTCTAGTCTATAGTCTAGTCGATAAGTCTAGTCTATAGTCTAGTCTATAGTCTAGTCTATAGTCTAGTCTATAGTCTAGTCTATAGTCTAGTCTATAGTCTAGTCTATAGTCTAGTCTATAGTCTAGTCTATAGTCTAGTCTATAGTCTAGTCTATAGTCTAGTCTATAGTCTAGTCTATAGTCTAGTCTATAGTCTAGTCTATATCTAGTATAGTCTAGTCTATAGTCTAGTCTATAGTCCTAGTCTATAGTCTAGTCTATAGTCTAGTCTAAGTCTAGTCTATAGTCTAGTCTATAGTCTAGTCTATAGTCTAGTCTATAGTCAGTCTAGTCTATCTAGTCTAGTCTATAGTCTAGTCTATAGTCTAGTCTATAGTCTAGTCTATAGTCTAGTCTATAGTCAGTCTATAGTCTAGTCTATAGTCTATCTATAGTCTAGTCTATAGTCTAGTCTATAGTCTAGTCTATAGTCTAGTCTATAGTCTAGTCTATAGTCTAGTCTATAGTCTAGTCTATAGTCTAGTCTATAGTCTAGTCTATAGTCTAGTCTATAGTCTAGTCTATAGTCTAGTCTATAGTCTAGTCTATAGTCTAGTCTATAGTCTAGATTCTATAGTCTAGTCTATAGTCTAGTCTATAGTTTAGTCATATAGTCTAGCCTAGTCTACTATTGATTGGCTTAAAAACAGACATGGTTCTGAGCACAAATTCCCACTCCTCGATGGTAGTGTAGGGTATAAAAAATATGTATATTAGTGTGTTTTTAATTCGTATTGGCTCTCAAATTAGATATATAAAATATCCAAATCTGTGCATATATAAATTGCAACATATAAAGCTGTCTATTAGTTTATATAATAAAAAATAAAAATAAAATTATTAAAGAAATAAAAAATTTATAACAATCAAGCTGTAACTAACAACCAACTTCTACCGTTTTCTGTCATTTTAGTGTAACGACGAGAACGAGCAATGTTGCATAAACAAAAAACTGATGTGATACGCTTATCAACGTCAACTCAAACGACGGGGGTAATAACTAAAAATGAAACTTAAAATAATAAATTAAAAAAAATAAACCTCGACTTGTTATTGTACAAAAAATTTAAGTAAATAAAAACGTTACAAGTTACAACAACAAAAGTACCAAGTTACAAAAAATATAAGAAAACATAAAAAATCTCCACAAGCACGTTTGTTAGCCAACTTAAAAACAAAAAAAAAAAAAAACAAAAAATGAACTACTACAATTTTGTAACAAACTCGGGCTAAAAGGATAACAACGAAACTGGTACTGACTGAATTGGACTCTATGAGTACTTTCTTAAATAGCAGAGTGTATACAACCACAGAACTACACACGTTTGCTGCCTCCCTTTCCTCTAAATATTTATTTGTATTAAAATAAAGAGATTCGACTGGCCAACATTGAGTCATTGTATATCACCACGTCGATCTCTCGTCGTGAGTTTGTTTGCTTGTTTGTATGAGAAGACATAGTAGCCCAAGGATTAAACCGGCAACGAGAACGTTGGATTTTATAAAGCGTCGAATGCAAGGTAAGTGAATTTGTTGCAACAACAACTACAACAAGTACTTGTAAAATACTTACAACCTACATACCTAAAAGTGCAATTAATTTACTCTTCGTTTTCTTCTTGTTATTTTTCTTCAACATACCTGTATTTATTTTTATAAACATACATACATATATTTGTAAGTTTTCGTTGTTATTTAAAAAAGCTGAATAGCATGGTGTTACACCTTTTAAGTTATGATGGCGTACAGAAATTTATTGTTAACTTAATAAAAGAACAGTGGTTTAAACTGAACATTTTAATAAAATCTTAATCAAATATAATATTTAGACGAGATTATAATTATAAAGAAATAAACCTAGACTCGACTAAGTAACTAGTCTAGACTATAGACTAGACTAGACTAGACTATAGACTAGACTATAGACTAGACTATAGACTAGACTATAGACTAGACTATAGACTAGACTATAGACTAGACTATAGACTAGACTATAGACTAGACTATAGACTAGACTATAGACTAGACTATAGACTAGACTATAGACTAGACTATAGACTAGACTATAGACTAGACTATAGACTAGACTATAGACTAGACTATAGACTAGACTATAGACTAGACTATAGACTAGACTATAGACTAGACTATAGACTAGACTATAGACTAGACTATAGACTAGACTATAGACTAGACTATAGACTAGACTATAGACTAGACTATAGACTAGACTATAGACTAGACTATAGACTAGACTAGACTAGACTATAGACTAGACTATAGACTAGACTATAGACTAGACTATAGACTAGACTATAGACTAGACTATAGACTAGACTATGACTAGACTATAGACTAGACTATAGACTAGACTATAGACTAGACTATAGACTAGACTATAGACTAGACTATAGACTAGACTATAGACTAGACTATAGACTAGACTATAGACTAGACTATAGACTAACTAGACTATGACTAGACTATAGACTAGACTATAGACTAGACTATAGACTAGACTATAGACTAGACTATAGACTAACTATAGACTAGACTATAGACTAGACTATAGACTAGACTATAGACTAGACTATAGACTAGACTATAGACTACTATAGACTAGACTATAGACTAGACTATAGACTAGACTATAGACTAGACTATAGACTAGACTATAGACTAGACTATAGACTAGACTATAGACACACTAGACTATAGACTAGACTATATATAGACTAGACTATAGACTAGACTATAGACTAGACTATAGACTAGACTATAGACTAGACTAGACTATAGACTAGACTAGACTATAGACTAGACTATACTAGACTATAGACTAGACTAGACTATAGACTAGACTAGACTATAGACTAGACTATGACTAGACTATAGACTAGACTATAGACTAGACTATAGACTAGACTATAGACTAGACTATAGACTACTATAGACTAGACTATAGACTAGACTATAGACTAGACTATAGACTAGACTATAGACTAGACTATAGACTATACTATAGACTAGACTATAGACTAGACTATAGACTAGACTATAGACTAGACTATAGACTAGACTATAGACTAGACTATAGACTAGACTATAGACTAGACTATAGACTAGACTATAGACTAGACTATAGACTAGACTATAGACTAGACTATAGACTAGACTATAGACTAGACTATAGACTAGACTATAGACTAGAGTATAGACTAGACTATAAGACTATAGACTAGACTATAGACTAGACTAGACTAGAGTATAGACTAGACTATAGACTAGACTATAGACTAGACTTAGACTAGACTATAGACTAGACTATAGACTAGACTATAGACTAGACTATAGACTAGACTATAGACTAGACTATAGACTAGACTATAGACTAGACTATAGACTAGACTATAGACTAGACTATAGACTAGACTATAGACTAGACTATAGACTAGACTATAGACTAGACTATAGACTAGACTATAGACTAGACTATAGACTAGACTATAGACTAGACTATAGACTAGACTATAGACTAGATATAGACTAGACTATAGATAGACTATAGACTAGACTATAGACTAGACTATAGACTAGACTATAGACTAGACTATAGACTAGACTATAGACTCATAGACTAGACTATAGCTAGACATAGACTAGACTATAGACTAGACTATAGACTAGACTATAGACTAGACTATAGACTAGACTATAGATAGACTATAGACTAGACTATAGACTAGACTATAGACTAGACTATAGACTAGACTATAGACTAGACTATAGACTAGACTATAGACTAGACTATAGACTAGACTATAGACTAGATATAGACTAGACTATAGACTAGACTATAGACTAGACTATAGACTAGACTATAGACTAGACTATAGACTAGACTATAGACTAGACTATAGACTAGACTATAAATTCATTCTTAGTTTTTTAAATTCTTTAAATAATTTTTTGTTTCACTCCACTGTATTGTGTCAATGCCAACGTCAATATCCAACAACATCTTAATTGTATTGACGTGTTGTTCTGACTTTTTGGTGAACATTTTTTATTATTTTTTATACATTTGTATTGCATTTCTTCAGAATTTCTTTCTTTAAATTTTAATTGAAGCCGACTATTATTTATATATTTGTGCACTTGGAGTCCTTTTTATTTTTTCAACTTTTTAATTAAATTTTTGAAATGCCTTCGAACTACAGCAACAACAAGTGGCCAAGTGAAATGTCAAAAGGGCAGTTGCTTTTGTTCAGAATTTTTGTTAAAAAAAAACACAAACATTTTAAATGTAAAAACCACAAAGAAATTCTAATGGAAATATTTCCTCTCGTTTCATTCGTTAGAAAATATCGAAAGAAACGTTAAAAAATTAGCTATTATCAAGGTTATAGATTTTATATTAGAAAAGTGTTTTTTGTTGTTATCAGAAATCGATAAAAAACGTAAGTTTGACAGTTTATTAGAAATTCCAACTATAATATTTATTATTTATGTGTAACAGTTTCTTATAATTAAATTTTCTGTATGAAAAAAAGTTGTATGTTTTTATGTGTCATATTTAGTTGGAAATAGAGACATTCCATCGTATTTTGACAGAAATTTTAATATTTTTTCGGACATAAGTTTGTTTGTGTGTGTGTGTATAGATAAGTATGTATATACACCTGTTATGTATGCATGTGTTAAAATGTTTCTATGAACCCTTTAGTTTGGGGTGATTGTCTCAAGTTGTCGATTTACTATATGAAGATATATATTTGCCCTACAAGGACTTTAATCGGGATTCTCTTTTACTTCTGTTAGGATAAATAACTATTTCTTGAGGTTATTATGCAGAAACAAATGTGCATTATATATATTAAAATTGAATTGATTAATTTCTCGTTAGCATTACTAGGGTACACTTAAGTGACACCTGTTTCTTTATTATTAATTTTATAAAGAGATAAAGTTATGTCAAGTCCTCAAATAATAAAAACGTAAATCAACCAAATAGATATTTGAGATAAATAATGCCTAAAAGGGACAAGCACTGCCGGTCTTTTCTTTTATATATGGGTGTGTAATATTCAAATGAAATTTTCTTTAACTAATTTACTTAATTACTTCTCATTTGATTAGATTGTTTTGACACAGAAAAAAATTAACAAAAAATTAATTCATTCAAATATACACTGCGAAAAATTTGCCATACTTTTAAGTACTCTAATAATGACTTACACGTAATCATATATGTGAGTACTTATTTTGAGTTTTGCCATTATATATTCATTATGATACTAAAGGGGCTCCTTTAGAACAGTGTGGTTGTGGATTGTTGTCGAGGAATGCTACAGATAGATCTCCGGGCGGCAAGCATTGGGACTGTCTTATTTTGTCACTAGTTTGTACTCTAAGGCATCACAAAGCGAAAATAATGGGTCGTCTATAGTTCAACCTGTGGTTTTGATGTTTTTATACCCTACACCACTGTAGTGGGGAGGCTGTTATGCGTTTGTGTTGATGTTTGTAACACCTAAAGTAAACCAATTACTTTCAACTATGTCCATCCGTCTGTCTGTCTCTGTCTGTCCGTCTGTCAAGTAATTGTAATTGACTAAATCTCAATCAAAGACCAATCACTTTCAACTATGTTCATCCGTCTGTCTGTCTGTCTGTCTGTCCGTCTGTCTGTCTGTCTGTCTGTCTATCTGTCAAGTAATTGTAATTAACCAAACCTCAAATACTATTATTTCAAATGTAATTGTAATTAAAAATGTAACTAAGCCGGAAATTAATAACTTATTTTGACCACTTTCAGTGGGCTTTGTTCTTAGTGGGATTATGCCTTCACCTAACTTTAAAATGATGACCTTGACTTTAATCATAAAGTTTACATGGTCACACAGACGGACAGATATTTATGTGGAAGGATAGACAGATGGACGGACATGGTTATACACAGTTAGGAAATAATTCGGATATTATTTAAGCTTATGCATATAAACATTATTATTGTTGGATGGTAATCGACATAATTAGTTTCTAACCTTACCACTAAAAAATGTACAACTATAACTTTACATTCTTTTTCTCACTGTATTAACAAAAAAATGAGAACATTTTCTTTAATTTATACAAACCTAATCAAATTACAATGGTGCTTATTACCACAAAAAAAATGTTTAGCATATGAATTTTTTATAACAATTCCCAAAAGTATTAAACAAAAATACTTGAAATTATCCAACATTTATATGGACATTAGGGTAGTTTGTGTTTTTATTAATGAAATGCAATAGCTTTAAGAATTTATAAATTTTTAGCCCCACTTTTGGTTCTTTATAGTTTCGCTCATAGGGGCCCAAAATTGTACTTTCACTTTACCTCACGTAAAACGATTACGTATATCGTTATCATGATAAAATTCCACATAAACACTTTCAATAAAGATCGGTCCATAGCCCTGTTAATAGCTTTTAGTCGGATCGTTTGTAATTTTTGAAAATTTTACATAATTACT